CGCCCATTTTGGGGATAGAGGCCTGTACGTGGATGTAGATTAAGTCCCCAAAGTTTCAGCCCCGTAGCTTCTGCCAGTCTCGAGATGAGAAATCGGTACAGAGGCGCAGCGCACACACAGACATACACACACGCACACAAACACACACACAGACACACACACACATACACATTGCATTGCTGCAAAAAACGCATAAAAATGTGTAAGTACGCACAGAAGTGAGGTTAGGAAGGGAGCATAAGAATAAGACGGATAGTTATGGTAATTTATGAGGAAAAGCAAGCGCTTATGTGCTCTGCGCAAGTGGTAAGCTACTCTGTAAGAAGATAAGCTCTTTGAATGCTGTCTTTGTCTGCTGTTGCAGTTTCACAGCCGATTGTAATGAACTGTGACGCAGCGAGTTGTCAAGTATGCGAACTTTATTGACAGCTTTCGTTCCTTGATAAACGGTTTATTTGTCCAGTGACAGAATGTGGAAATCACAGAATGGGGCGAATTTCGGATTTTGGGCAAAAAATGACTCCACCGAAATCGGTATCTGGCGAGGAAAACAAAATCATAGGCCCGAAAAATCGACACCCTTTTCTAATATTACTTTCTGCCGAAGTATCATGTGAATTCATGGGCATCGAACTCCCACTTTCAGTACCGACCCAGTACCTTCCAGTTGTATCCGGCGCGTTCTTCCGGACAAATTCAACCTCTTTTCGTAACAATCTATATTTCTATCACTTTTTTTCACTCCGCATCTGTGCTTCCCTTACGCAAGTTTTCACGGAATCCTGGATGTCTTTCTGTGAATGGAAAGCCCTACCCATTACCGTGTGCATGCATGCCACTGATTAGAGAAGGATATTCGTTCGTTTTTGCGTACGTGAGCAATGGCTACCACGATGATTGACGCGCATATGCTGCACGAGATCCGTTGTTAGCCGAAATATGTTACCGCACACGGCGCAACAATTCTGATTCGGTAAGCTGATGCTCATCATGTTTTGGCTCATCGCCATGCTTCTTGTGCGATCTAAACTGCTTTTTCTTGGGAGCATGAAAGGCATATGACACCAAAACTTTGGCTACGCCGCACCACTACAACTCTTTTTGTTTCTTTTTTTTTTCAGAAATAGTTACAAAAAGTAAAAAATAACTGTAAGATATGAAAAGCCACAGAACCCGAGGCATATCTGAATCTGGTGAGTGGACTGCAGCCTGTTTGACTTTGTATGCAGCTAACTAGGAACAGCTGCCCCGGAAAGAGCACTTTTTTCATTTCATAATTTCGGAAAAAAAGAAATTACCGGTAAGATTTGTAACGCTAGGCTGAAAGGGAACTGGTGTGTTGTTGTTTTGAGGAATGTTTGAATGGTCCGGTTGCACTGTGGCCACATGCTGTTGCATCAGGCGTGCATAATTCTGCAACCATACAACAATTTACTTATATTCAAAACCGAATCAAAACCCTCCCACAGCTCACGTTCTAAAAGAGATTGGAAATATCACCAGTCGTTACAACGTCTGGCAACAGCAGTTATTCCTTAATAGGAATGTTGGCGGCTCTGTCTTTCGAGAATTTTTCTGCTTGCAAGTAATCTTATGATGAGTCTGATCTCCCTAGCATATGGCATTACCAATTTACGATAGAAAACGAATTATAGAAGTGTATTAATAGTATTCGCAATGCGCTTCGCAGAAGTAGGTTGCGTTTTTAGCGTATAGCCAGATGATTTCATTCTCACGTACTGGACAGTTGTCGCGAAAACCCTCGATAAGCCGGCCAAGAAACCGCCACCGAGAGGAAAAAACGAAAGGTGTGTTTTCCCTTAAAAGGCAGATGCACTGTAGATGTACTGCAAGGCTAAACCTGAAGAACAAGCACTGGTGGCATGGTGGCAACATATTGCATCCTGACGTGAAGGAATGTGGTTCGGTCATCCTCCGGTCCAGAACAATTTTCAAGAAAGGGCTTCATTCACGACAAAAGTACAATGAAGCTTGATCAGACAAACGCGTTAGTTCGTGCTTTCGGTTTGTAAGATGCTAGAGTGAGTGCTGTACAATGGCATAGCCATCTTGGCATCCAGCACTGAAGGTTGTAGTTTCGAGAATCTCCTGGATTTTATGGAACATGTCAAATTAAACTAAGTATAACGAAATCATCAATTTAACACGCTATAAAAACCTGGTAAAAAAAGCCGTACTGAACAGAAACCGGAACTGAGTTTCCAATTTTTTCATTTTTTACGATATCATGACAGTCATCCAGTGCCGGATTCCAGATACGATTCTTTTTTGCTTTCACTTCATTACCGCCTCCTGTGCTGTTCACAGCCATGCTGAACCAAAAAAATACTGCTGCCATGATCTACGTCAACATTCGTCTACGTTTATGCGATGACTGAATAAATTTTTTACAAAAGAATTCTCAAAAACACAGCTTTCAATTCCGGACGCATTTCGTTCATGAGAGACCTCTTTAGAGATATATTCATATTACATAAGGAAATTAGTGATGATGTTTATATAAAATTAAAAAACAGGCGGGTAAAGAGGAGTGTTTCGACCCATCACATTTCTGGATGATCATTTAAAAACTGGCATATTTATTACCGCTGTCGAATTGCCCAATTTTCTTTAAAGTACGCAGGCTGTGTTCTCAAAGTTGTTTCGAGTACTCAGAGAGGTATGATTTGAACTGGATAAAAGTTTGGGAGAGAAGCAGTAGTTGAGGTGTTACGGAGGAGGCGAGGAATGCACATTTTGGTACTGCTTTGCCTGATAGTAGGTTATGAAATTTCTATAAGGAAGCATGCAAATTATGCAAATGAAAAGCAAATTAATTGGGTAGGGAAAACAGCAGCCTGAGCAGTACTGAATACTGTTGAGGAAAGCGTTAATATTCATGAGCCAGTAAAATCTAATTTCGCTGTTCTTTTCTTGTCATCTGAACGACGTGCAAAGCATCATTTTCCAGGATAATGAATCCCTGAATGCAAAAGTCATGCACACTTTTAAATGAGTTGTTACTTTTCCCGAACTACATGCTCCGCTTGAGGACAACGATTTTTCACTGTCCAGCTTTCCTGCTTCACTAGTTCACATGTCACTCCTGGACATTTAAAGCAGGATTATCTGCCATCCTTAGCTTTCGACTGGCAATAGTTTTGTGTCTCATTTATATTTAGTTAATGAGCACCAAACCGAGCCTTTTTGAAGCGGTTTTTTGGCCTTCACTAAAATCGAAAATGTCTACCTTTCTTGACTGATTTTACTCCACTATTTCAATTTTGTGCTTTTCTGACCGAGCTCTCTACGCGCCCCTTTTGCATCCCTTTTACAAAATTTCTACCCCTCAGGCTGTTTTTTTTTTTTTGTATCTCAGCATTCCTCCACCACTCTCCACTACCCCTTCTTCTTTCCGTTCAGCACATTGGCACAGCAGTGACTCGCGAAATTGCTTTTTTAAGAAAAACAAAAAAATGTTGAAGGCTGAGGGGAAATGCTGGGGAACGATGACAAATTCCCAGTTGTACTATATGACAGTACTACAAATCCAGCCAAACTAGCCTCCTTTAAACCGCTCTCTGCTATAAATGAGCATCCCGAAACAACAGGAGGAGAGATTACAACGTAAATTCAAGCACTCAATTAGAAATTAGTAGAATTCCAGAAAAAATTCATGGACAGTTAAAGCGAAGAATCAAGACTGCTACAACACAGAACAAACGAATTTACTTTGTAATCTCGCACACTGGATCTTTTACGAGTAAAATATCAAAAAACACCTCAAAAATAGACTCACTGAAGACAACAGTCGTCCAACTCCTTATTGACCCTGTTTTCGTGAGTGGTCACCAAATGATAGTTTTGAGGGAGCTGGCCAAACAGACAAAACTGAATACAACATCAAATGGACATCTTCGTCGACACTACTTTCATCCATATTGTGGAAGGATGCATCCATACACTCCTGTCAACAACCGTCAGTCACTGTCATCGGATCAGTGCCACCCGCTTCTCTTTTCATTCCGAACAGAAAGTCGCAAGGGAGCGCCAGAAACCCTGCCTTTTCTGGTCTCTGCCAAGAATGGAAAATTTATTGTAATTTTCACTACGCATTTTTGTTGCATTTCTTATGTAAATGCAAAAACGCATATTGTTGATAGATTCACGGTGGGTGTTTATGTGTGTGTTTTCAGATTTTTATCACTCACATTCTACTTCGTAATAGCGGAAGCTATGAAGCTGGTGTTTCACAGGGATGCTTTTAGCCCACGTGCCATCCAAGCAGCTTAAAATCAACGTCCACTCAGCAAATTTATCTTTCCTGATGATTCAGAAATTATAAGACTAGTCAGCACATTTTTCTCATAAAAAGATGCTGGCTCACAGTTGACAGACAATATTTTCCTATACCATAAGTTAACTTACTTTTCTTTCCTCCCACACTCTGTCTGTTTTCTCTTTCGCACATCTATCTTGCAAATTGGTCGTATGACTGTTCAGTACACGATGAGGAGGCTGTGCTGATATTTCCTGTTTTCACTCGCACGCAAACTTTGGTATGTATTTACAGCTACGGGATGAAACGCAGACTGCATCCTAACATGTCCTTATACACATGACACTTAGACCAATACTTTATTTTACTATTTCACACAGACCTGCGTTTTGACCATCACCTAAAGACGATGCAGAAGTCAGTCACACAGCAATTTTTGTGCAAACTGCCATACATGAGACCCATCCCACTGTTTCATATCCTGAATTCGCCACTGTCCTAATGTAATTTGCGCAGACAAAGCCAAATTTGACGACATAGCCATGCATTTTTTCGGGGATAGGCCGTTTTCTGCACTGCACTGAATTTTTAATCATTTAAAGAAAAATCCAGGAATGCCAAATTCAGCCCTCGGCAAGTAGCCTCCACCGACTTCGACAACTCATCAGTAAACATCAGTGAAATTAGTGTTTGCAAAAACTCGACTCACACTTTTTGTCCGCCATGTTACAGCCTGAATCCCAGTAGAAATTCAATTTTAAATGTACCCACACCACAGAGTTCCATAAGCTGTATCAGATATGAGGGATATCTGCACATCCAGAATATTCCTTCATCCTGTGCAACTCAGTGTCGCAGTCGAAAGCACATTTGAAAGATATGCCCAAGACACACTTTGCAAATCATATAGTATGAAAAGTCATTACATGTCCCGAAATTCGGAATTAAGAGTTGTAAATTTAGCTTTGCACGCATCGCTTGAACCTTTGCCGAGGGCATTTTTAGATATGTGGAGAGGAAGGAAGAGGAAGAGCACAGTGAGCTGCGATCCTTTTACTGTTGAAAACTCGGAGCTAAA